CTTGCGAAGTTTGCAGACGCAGCAAGCCCCGCAACCGCAATCCCTACGGCGAGTTACACCCGATGCCTATCCCACGGGAACCCGGTCTCTCCATTGCCATGGACGTCACCGGTCCGTTTCCTCGTGACCGGCTCGGGCACGACGGCATCCTCACGGTTGTGGACCGATTGAGTAAGTACGCGCGTTTTCTCCCTTGCAAATACTACTCCACGGCTCCCGAATTGGCACGCCTCCTGCACACTGGTTGGATTTGTGGCCACGGTGTACCAGAAGACATTGTCAGCGACCGCGACACTCGTTTCATGTCGGSGTTTTGGACTGCTCTCATGCAGGAGTCCGGCACAACAATGAAACCAAGTTCAGCTCGACATCCTTAGACAGACGGGCAGACGGAGCTGGCACATCAAACCGCTCAAATGATGCTTCGTACGCTCATTCGCCCGGACCAGAAAGATTGGGTTGACCGCCTCCCCGACATCGAGTTCGCCTACAACACTTTGGTGCACCCGACGATCGGCGTGACTCCACTCGAGTTGCACCACGGTGGACGGAAAGGCCGGATTTTCGCCGACCTTCTCCTCCCTCGACTAGCCGACATTGACGCTGCCTGCTCTCCCGMTTCCGTCCGGAAGTACAGGGAATTGCTGACTCAAGCCCGCGCAAACATGCAAAAGGCTCAAGTTCGCATGCAACAGCAAGCCAACAGGCGTCGCGTACCATGTCCCATCCGCGCCGGTGATCTGGTTTGGGTCTCCGCGGAAGAGTTTGCACTGGAACAGGACGTTTCACGCAAACTGCTTCCCAAGTGGTTTGGACCTTGGTCTGTGACAGCAGCCGTGGGCGATGAGCCCGATGGCCCTTCATTTGTGATCAACATTCCAGAGCATCTGATGATCCATCCGGTCTTCCACGCCTCGAAGCTGGCAACATACACGCCAGCCAAGAGCGACGACTTTCCGAGCTGACGATTGCAGGACCCTCCTTCTATGGATGGCCATCAGCAAGTTGACCGCGTCATCACCGATCGCAACATTCAAAGCATGCGATCGCGACGACACTCGGTGGATTTCAGGAGCAGATTTGAAAGCATCCGCACCGCTGATCTACGCTCACTATGAACGTCAAAGGTTAGCCAAGGGACCTCCACAACCTGCCCCTCCCACCCGGACTGTGGTCCCTCCCTCAAACAGACAGCTTCACCCTCGCAGGTAAGCTCGGTCTTTCAAGGAGGGGGGGGTGTGGCATACTGCGTGGGCCTTGTAGGACCCGTCCCGGACATTCACCCTAAAAGCCTAAAACTTAGGATCTACAGGCCCCGGTCGTTTCAGCCTGAAAACTGAAAAACGAGGGCCTGCAGGCCCTACTCCGTTTCAGCCTATTTCTGGGTCTTTCAGACCCAGAGTTTTTCCAGCCTGAAACGGAGGGCTATTCTTAGGCCCTGGGCTATTTTTCGGCCCTCGTTTGTTTCGACCTGCCCTAAGATTCAGGCACGAAAACTGGGTTTCGGAACAGGCTATTTCTGGCCTGTTCCCACGCCAGCTCGAGCAGGAGCTGCAGCTGCAGCCCCTGCCTCCCTGCGGCATTATTGGCAWKAGCACGAGCAGGAGCTGCAGCTGCAGCCCCTGCCTCCCTTCGGCATTATTGGCAAGAGCACGAGCAGGAGCTGCAGCTGCAGCCCCTGCCTCCCTTCGGCATTATTGGCAAGAGCACGAGCAGGAGCTGCAGCTGCAGCCCCTGCCTCCCTTCGGCATTATTGGCAAGAGCACGCTCCTGGACTGCTCGCCCGAGTCAGGAGGCACCCGTGATAGTACATAGGAGCTTCAGGCACTGAACGGGTAGGCAGTTGGAGAGTAGGACGGTAGTCTTCAGATTTCGGCCGCAGCACTCAGGAGGAGCGCTGCAGTAGTCTTCAGCGCTAGGCAGTAGTAGTAGCGCTAGCTGTAGTCTTCGGCGCTGGGCGCCATAGCCATAGCAGTAGTCTTCAGCGCTGGGCGCTGTAGGTGGTAGGTAGTAGAGTGGGGAGAGACACTGGCGGAGGCCAGTGGTACGTACCTGTGGCGCCATCGCTCCAGCTCCATCTTCGAGGTACCTGCATCAAGGCGCCAACTTCACAGGTTAGTACTAGAGAGAGAGAGAGAGAGAGTTCTTCTTCCTCTTCTTCTCAGTCCACCATCTCTTCTTCCCCTCTCACCACCTGCTTCTCAGTATCAGCGGACTACTACAGAGAGAGAGTTGTGACATGAGACTTGACGACATTGGATCCAGACTCGACATTGGGATTCAGACATTTTGACGAGGGACTATTTGGGCCTGTGCTGAACACTTGGTGTTGACGACATTCCCATCTTCCCTTCTTCTTCGTCTAACCCCACCTCCCTCGTCTGTGTATGGTTGGGGCTGGCGCAGTCTTCTTGTGTGAAGCGCCAGACCCCTGCGCACCATGATGATGATGATGTATGTTCGGGGCTGCATTACAATATTGATTGTTCGGATCATTGGTATCTAAGTCTTCCGCTGTGCTATCTTATACCTTGTATTGAAAGGTCGGTTCTTGTTCTGGTCTGCACCTATACGGTATGCAACATTAGGGGTCATCCTCCTAGTGTCCTTGTTGGAGGTTGGACTACATAGTGTGTGGCCGGCAGCGTTGGCTACCCACTCATGTTACCTGGCCGAACTGGTTCGCCACATGGTCCACAGATCAATTGTGCACCCACTATCGAATGCTAATTTTGAGCATATGCACTGCACCTATACGGTATGCAACATTAGGGGTACCCTCCTAGTGTCCTTGTTGGAGGTTGGACTACATAGTGTGTGGCCGGCAGCGTTGGCTACCCACTCATGTTACCTGGCCGAACTGGTTCGCTACATGGTCCACAGATCAATTGTGCACCCACTATCGAATGCTAATTTTGAGCATATGCACTGTTAGCCCTCCATAGAGCCACATGCAGTTGGCCGACACCTGCTTCCCGAATGCCAATTCGATATACAAGTAGTATCAGCCCTCCACACAGCCACATAGTGGGCCCGCTCTCCTCAATGATTCCTAACAGAATGGCAACTGCTAATCTGGATACTGCAATCTGGCTGGAAACCAGGGCAGCTGCAACAGACAACATAAATATGGTCAATGTGGCTGCAGGGGATGATCATCCTACCAATGCGGCTTTTGCTGAAGTGTGTCCCCTCCTCCAGCAACACCGCCAGCATCATCACCACCAGCTCCTTCATGTAGATCTTCTACTCCATCCTCTCTGTCAACTGCCTCGTCTTCTTCCTCCTCCTCGTCTTCCTCCTGACATTCTCGTCAACTACCTTTTCTTCCTCCTCCTCCTCCTCCTCCTCCTCCTAGCATTCCTCCCCCTTGTCAACGTCCTCCTCCTCATCAATACATTCATGGCCAGATCGGCTGTCACAACGACCTCCAAGGCGGAAGCATTCCCCATCTCCACAACAACCTCCTAGACAATGGCCTCGTTTCTACATGAACAGTGTGAGCATCACACCCCAAGTGGGGACTAGAGATTTGCTTCGATGCCATGCTTCCAATAGTATACAATGACGTGACCCATACATAAGAGCCATGATCAGTACATACCGAGCCTAGTGTCCACGATGTGAAAGTGAATTCTACAGTGCTGCTGGCCTGCGTGTGCACGAGACACAGTGCAGAGGAGCATGATAGAGACTAGTAAGCTCAAAATGAATTTTCCCATGTCGTGCAACCTGCAGGGTGAAATGATTTCATGGTGCTATAGCGATGCCAATGTGCATACTGTGCCACTAATGTGCGTTTCCTCGCTTACAATTGTTGCCCTTGTTTCTAAACTCGCAGGCATGCCCCTGCACGGATGACTGTATGAACCAAGAAACCATACAAAGCCTGTGCAACCAAAATTGCGCAGTCGGAAAACAGAACCCACTTCGAATCTGCTCTTCCTCCTCCTCATGCTCTTCTTCCTCAGTTTGATACTCTTCTTCCTCCTAATGCTCTCCTGCTCTTCATCATCTTAATGCTCTTCATGCAATGCAAGCTCTTCATCCTTATCACGCTTGACCTTCCCCACCCTCCCTCTCTCTCTCTCTCGTGACCTTCCCCACCCTCTCTCTCTCTCTCTCTCTCTCTCTCTGATGCATCCTCAAAATACTACGAGCGATGCAGTGATGATGATAAGGACTTGAATGGACAATGCAGCATCAACGGAGCATCAACGAGCAATGTACATCCATATGCATACAAAAATAGCGCAATGGAAGACTCAAAGATATGACCTGACCTGTTGGACACTGACTCGACTTAGCCCATCACACACAACACACGTGAGAGAGAAGGGAGGAACCACATACATGGAAGAAAGGTCCCTCCTTGAACACGCACATGGGGAGAAACCTCATATGAGAAAATGAAGGAAGAGCAAGACGAAGATGGAAATGAGGGAGAAGACCAAGATCGCAATAGCGCAATAAAAAAAATAGTCTCCCTGTCGAATGTCCAATCAAAAAATAGTCTCCCTGTCTCCCTGTCGAATGATCATCGCAAAAGAAGAAACGGAACTGAGGGATGGTGATGATGGCTCTCTCTCTCTCTCTCTCTCTCTCTCTCTCTCTCTCTCTCTCAAATTGCACATCAAAACGGAAGCAATGCTAAACCCTTGATGTCAAAGGAATAAACACTGTTGTCCGCTAAAAACCCTAAAAGGGAAAAAGAGCCAGCAGAATTCTTTCGGGACAAAAGTCGCGTCTACTTCAGAAATCGTGGCTGCCATCTCAGGTACAAAAAGCAGCAAAAAGGGGGGGGGGGGGGGGGGGGGGGGGAGAGAGAGAGAGAGAGAGAGAGAGAGAGAGAGAGTAGCACCAATCCGCGCTGCACCAATTCGGTGGACGTAGCATGTTGCACCAATTTGTTAGCACCTAGCACGTAGCAAGTTGCACGGACTACGTAGCCCATAGCTCCAATCACGAAGCACTAAAGCACGTAGTGCTGAAGTACGAAGCACCTAACGCCGAATATCGAAGCACGAACACAGAGATATAGAAAGAAACGAGTTGGACCAATTCATAGCACGTAGTTCGTAAAAAGCACATAGCGCCAAGGCAGAAAGCACTTAGCACTGAGAGAGAAAGAAAGGAATTGCACCAATTCGTAGCACGTAACTCGTAGGATGTTTGCACACGTAGCACGTAGCTCGTAGGATGTTTGCACACGTAGCACGTAGCTCCACACATGAAGCACGAATCATGAAGCACCGAAGCCCGAAGCACGTAGCAGCAAAGCACGAAGCACGAAGCATGTAGCTCTTAGCATGTAGCACCAAAGCCCGAAGCAGGTAGCGCATAGCACTGATTCACACACACACACACAGAGAGAGAGAGAGAGAGAGAGAGAGAGAGAGAGAGAGAGAGAGAGAGAGAGAGAGAGAGAGAGAGAGAGAGAGAGAGAGGTGGGTCATGTAGCGCAGGTCGTGTAAAGCAGGTGCATCTGGTAGTGCAGGTAGGTCCCGAAGGGCCAAGATATCTCCACCGCTCGTGCGAGGGGCCCAGATATCGACACCGGTGTGCCATGATTCCTAAAGTTCAAGGGTGTACTTGCCGTGCGGATGCTAAGATAAGAAAAAGAACAAAATAAGAGCTGGGCCCCGCACGGCACGAAAACGAAAGCATCATGGAGTCCTTGCGGTGGGGTTCGAAATCCTGTCTGTAGCATGAAAGAAAAGCAACAAAAAGGAAAACCTGCATCACCAACTGAACAAAGAAGCAAAAAATGAACCAAAAAGAACGAAGTGAAAAGAAACGAGACGGAAGACGGGCAAAAAGCGTAAATTTTTTCTGCATATCCAACCGCCAGACCAAATCCAATCGAACGTCGAAGAAGTTTTCATGCCGTGACAGGCAGAGCCAGATTTTTTTTTTTTTTTTTTTTTTTTGGGTTTTTAGAGAGCCAGATTTTACATCAGACATCGCACAGCCGACCATGATCGTAGGAAAATTGCAACGTGGCGGCCATACGGGGTATGGCGTAAAGTTGAATGCAACACCCAGCCGCTAGATTAAAATCCAACGGCCGAAACCTAACAGTCGAAGCCACGTATACAGCCCGCGGCCGAAAAACTTTTTCTTCGGGAGAGAACTAAACCTGGAAATAACGAGGGGTACATTTGGTAGCAATTTTGGCTCCAACAGTCCCCGCATGAGCACGGGCAGAATAGAAAAGGGCAATCAATGCACAAGAGAGAGGGCTGTTCCTCATGGGCGGCTGTTATCTTCTCCTTTTTTCTTTACTGTTCGGAGGGCTATTTTTCTCGGAGAGCATTTGTCATGCAGAGCTTTTTCACACAGCCCTCCAAAATTCAATGAAAAGAAAGAGCAGACAGAGAAAGAAAAAGAAAACAAAGGCAGAGGAGCAAATGGAAGAACTGCGGGCTCTACTCTTCCTCGCATGAATTCCGGACCACAGCTGTTCCTGATTGTGCACACCGCAGATCGACAGTGAAAATACGGACGGACACTTATCAGACGGCAGGCACTCTTTTGCTGAATACTGTGGTTGGGATGAGCTTGAACACAGCGATACACCCGACCAAAGGAACTCCAAAGAAAGAAAGAAAGAAAGAAAGAAAATTCTCGCCCCAATACTTCGTTTCAAGCTGCAACCCTAGATGACAAATGTGCTCTTCTTATTTCGGTTTAGGGTTTATTGAGCCATTCCATGCAAGCCTGGAGGACGATACCAAATGTTAGGCAATGTCAAGACCCCCACATCATAGAGTGCACAAAGCAACCAAAGCACATTGCTACCCGAAGAAGATAATGGCCATTGTCATGGCGAGTCAAATTGTGCAGGAATATCAAGCAAAGCCAGGGCTAAGCAATGACCATGTCAAAGAGCCTGTTCAAAACGAGTTCTAAAAGAATGTTGGACCTACTTTCCATTTTCATATACTAATTCTCATCATCAGTGTTGACAACTGCATCACTTGTAGTTGTGAGGGGAAATTTTGTGTTGTAGCAGTCAGAGTACACCCCTGTCAGAATGTAGGTGGATATGTAGCAAGCCTGGACAACCCAGGTGCATTTTGATGCCGTGGCTGACCTGGTACACTCGTGGGGGCATATTTGTCTTTGCAGGTTCTGGTAGGAAAGCTCCGTTGCTTGATTTTTGAGAAGCGCCCAAGGGACAACTGTCTGGATGTATCCATTCTGGGTTTGTCCATCTATTACTAGTAAAAAAATATTGCGGAGAAACCAATCACTCAATCCAAATGTTGGGACATTTGCTGGCGAATTCTGGCCAGGCCTGCTCTGTGCACTCCAGAACCCATTCCAGAGGGGAGTATGCAATCTTCCGGCTCCCGACTGTCAGGGGGCGAGATGCACGTCCTTCCCTCTTCCATTTCCCCCCCCCCCCCCCCCCCCCCCCCCCCCCCTGCCGGTTCTCTCCTACACATACCGCTGCCTGATTTGATAGCAGCTGCATACACATACGCTGCCTGATTCGATAGCAGCTGCAACATGCCAAGACCAACAACCGACCTCTGACAACGGCTGTGCAGCAGGGGTGTCAACTCAACAATGCCCTATGCATGCCCAGCACCGAGATCAACAACCGCAGAGGGATGAGACCGATGCCGGACAGCAGAAAATCCTTTGAATGTGCATCTCGCCCCCCGACAGTTTGCATACGGAATGGGTTCTGGAGTGCACAGATCAGGCCTGGCCTGGATTTGCCAGCAAAGACCATGTGACCAGATGCACAACAAGGGGTGGAGGCGGGGAAATGGGAGATGTGGTTGCCTATAGAGACTGAGGCGTAATCAGAAGGGACAGCAGCAGCCACGCGTCCCGCGAGTGCTATCACTTTAGGTGTCTAGTCATGTAAGCAACCACTTTGAGCTGCAGAACGGGCCTGCTTTCGGGCATGTCGTACTGTAGAAAAGATCTGCAGCCTACTGTCAACCTCTGTTCAAATATTCACCTGTACATTGGGGACGCTGGGCCCCATTTCCAGCACAACAAAGGGTGGAGGTGGGGAAATGGGAGGTGTGGTTGCCTACACAGACCGGAGCGTGATCAGAAAGGACAGCAGCAGCCACGGGTCCCGTGGATACTATCACTTTAGGCGTCTAGTCATGTAGGCAACCACTTTGAGCTGCAGAATGGGTCTGCTTTCGGGCATGTAAGGATCTGCAGCCTACTGTCATCCTCCTGAATGACTGTACAAACATTCATCTGTGACATTGGGACGCTGGACCCGATTTCCAGCAGGTGCTGCTCCCCACCAATAGATGGAGCCCCCGGGAAATGCTAGTGGTGTCTGCTCTTATCAGCACCCCTAGCACCTCCGCGGGTGTCTTCCCCCCCCCAAAAAACAAAATTGCCAGGGAGTGAAGTTGCGGGTCAGCCGTGGTGAGAAGATTCCAATAGAAGTCGCTGGACAAATCAACTGCAGATTCGTGCATTACGGCCAACAATATGCTTGCAAGGGAGATAGGAAAGGAAGTCGAGGATCAACAGCAGTGAGAAGATTCCAACGTCCTTGGAAGCGAAAGAGGAATACTACTTACCCTCTGACTGCAGCTAGAGTAACCTACAGATCTTAGACATAGCCCCTTGGAGACGAAAAGGGAATGATATACGCAAACGTCATATACACCAGGAAATACCATCCGTCATGTGCTGCTGCAAAGTTTTCTGATTCCAGCACTTGAAAGCTAACAGGATAGGCTGACTGCACCTCCAGTTAAACCACCACTACTTTTGACCCTTCCCTTGCCAAGCCTCGAAACGCACTGCGCGCAAAATAAAGCAAAACGACGTGGGCCTTCTTTAGGCTTGTGCCACTAGCCATTTTGCTCCGGTATTGTGCCCTTGGCCTTGGGCTGTATGTGCACTTGCTTGGGTCTAGACGAGAGAACTGAGATTCGTGGTTCACTTCTTGATTCGATCCTGGCACTCACTCCGCTCGCCAGAAGCGTCTGCTCTATCACCAGAGTCGCCTGGTTTAGGGCCCCACAGCGAATCGTCGCCAAACTCACCTGACTCCCGTTTGTAGGCTGACCCCCGACCTACATGCACGCTGCATCGGAGAAAAATGGCTGGGAAACTGGTGTTTAAGATCCAAGGAAGCACTTCGCCCTATCAACAACAATCCCCTCCAACTTCCACACATGCGGAGAGTCCCCAGCCTGGGTGACAATCTGCTCATATATACCAGGAAATACCATGCATGCTGCTGCAAAGTTTTCTGATTCCGGACCTTGAAAGCTAACAGGAATGGCTGACTGCACCTCCAGTTAGACCACCACTACTTTTGACTCTTCCCTCGCCGAGCCTTGAAACGCACACCACGGAAAAGAAAAAGAAACGACGCGAGCCTTCTTTAGGCTGGCTACTCCAGTAGGCTGACCTCCGACCTGCATGCATGCTGCGTTGGAGAAAAATGGCTGGGAACTGCACTGGTGGTTTAAGATCCATGAAGCACTTCGCCCTATCAACAACAATCCACTCCACCTTCCACACATGCGCCGAATCTCCAGCCTGGGTGACTACTTTTGACCCTTCCCTTGCCGAGCGTCGAAACACAATCCACACAAAAGAAAATGAAACGACGCGAGTCTTCTTTAGGCTGGCTACTCCGGTAGGCTGACCCCCGACCTGCATGCATGCTGCGTCGAAGAAAAATGGCTGGGAATTTGGGAAATGCACTAGTGGTTTAAGATCCACGACGCACTTCGCCCTATCAACGACGATCCACTCCACCTTCCACACATGTGCAGAATCCCCAGCCTGGGTGACAATCTGCTCCATCCATGAAAGTGCTGATGTTCCCATGTAATTCCCATTGAGAAATGAGGGTGATGGCCAATGCCGATTGGCTGCTAAGGGGTCAAGTCCTGTCCCACAGGGAAGTAAATGCACCTGGTCCCCCAAAAGACCACATTCAATTACAGGGCCACATACTGCTCAGTGGGTCTGGAACCCCTCAACACCGATGGCAAAGGCACGAAGCGCCCTATTTTTTCACAGCAGCGCAGCACCCGACTTTCCCCTTACCCATGGGCAGGCAGCCTGCCACCGCCATGTGCACAGGATGAGCATTAGAATTGGAACAACACTGCATCTGCTGAAGAACAGTGACCCAAATGATCTTAAAGTCAAGCACCTAATTGTCAGAGAAACAAACCCACTGGATCTTCTCTTATTATTTGGCAGAGAATTTTCGCAACCTGCGGTGGTTGCCCTCTCTATCCATGACCCTATCACAGGACCGCCCAAGGTGGCTTGCGAGCGCTACCTGATCTGCCATCCATTTTTTGCACCAACAAGTGGAACCAACCACAGAGATTGCCTGATTGAGACTACTATGTACACACGATGGTGGCTGACAGCGGAGTTGAGAGTGTAATAATATTACATGGATAAATGTCAATTTGGAAAGGCTGTAGCATTGCACCTAACCTGGGGATCACAATCCATGAAAGTCTGCAAGAAAATCCTAGCTGCAGGCAATCCTCCAATGCCGCCCCTGATAAAGAAAAAGGGCATGCCGCATGTGTGCATGCCCCATCTGTATGTACAATATAATTCTGGATTCGCAAGTGCCCAACCACTCAGTGCAGCGTCCACTGCGTAGACTTTCAAGTCCAGGGACCAGCATCAGCTATGCACCCATTCAATCTCCCCATAACAGCCACAGGATTGACAACTGGATGCTTTCCCACTCAGCACGATGCATTGGCAAGCTTTCCGATCTACCCACTACAAAAAAAAAAAAAAAAAACACAGAAATGAGCAGCACTGCTTCCTCTACACATTCAGAGAGAACACTGAATACCCCCACCCAGGAAAAAGAAGTTTGGGCCCTAAGCCCTCGGGTACGGTATTATGATGCCTGTGTGCTTACTGGCCTACTGAATCATGAGTGGGCCTTCATTTGGGGATGAAAAGGAATCCAAAAAAAGAAGAGAAGAGGGGGAAAGAGGCCTCCTTGAACTGGATATACAGCTAGTGGCGGAGAAGGGAGGAGAAGGAGGGCATAACAAGTCAGGAGTTCACAACTGAAGTGCTGACAGACACAAGATCATCCGCCATCCAAGATGGCAAGCAATCTCTGAAGCCAGACAAGCTTATTTCGTAATTTGGCTGAATGATAGCCAGCTTCAGCCACTCCTGGATATGACTTCTAGGACCGACCTAGGCAGCAGCCTGCCACACCCAACAGCTTAGTGTTTAGGCATACGGACTTACGGCCGCTGCTGTGCATATATATATTGTCACATCACTACAAACTAAAAGAGCGCACTTTGCGGAACAAAGAATAAAAGCAAAAAACGGGCACAGTGATAACATGCAAAAATAAAAATAAAAATACAAACAAAAAGAAAAAACAAGGGCAGATTGAAACCATTAAATTTCTCATTCTTCTTTTTGAACTCCACCTCCACTGTGCCTCTCACGTGCAAGGCTCGCCACGTTGATGAAGTTGAGCGCGAGCTGCCCCCATCCCCGTATGCCATAACAGCCCACTTGCACGCTGTGAGAGAGGCAGAGTGAAGGGGAAGGTGTTAAACACAGGGAAAAGCTCAAGAATGAGGCTGTCCTTGACGACAGAAAGGACACACATTGTAAGGATGGGGTGGATGAGCGCATGGAAGACCTAACTGAGCATTCTCAAAACAACAACTGCCACGACGGCTGGCATTAAGCATGCCAACCATACATTCCTGACAAATAGCATGTCTATTGCAGGCCAGAATAAAGGAAGAACGCCCCCCACAAAAGAGCATGCATTCAGCATAGCGTCCGTGGCCACAAAATGGACATATAGTGTCCGGATGAGGAGGGTGCCTGCAGTCAGGAACGGAGGGACAATCCTGTACACACATGGATGCAGAAACCATCTCGTGGTAGTGATTGTGACAAAGATGATGGCGAGTACACCCAAGTGCAACAGTGTCTGTGGCTGTGCAAAGGAGAAGGTCACACAGTGGCTGTACATTGTACTGCTGCACTACGGTGCCAGAGGAATGATCTTCGACATAAAGGAGGTTGCGGACAGTTTGATGTGGCAAGAGAACAGCATCATAGAGTAAGAAATCAGTAATATCAATCATGGCATGGACCATGACACCGTCGTTCCACACCTCCCAATGGTCAGAGGCGTGTACAATAGCCATGTAATGGCCAGGCCCATGCACAATGCAGGCAGAGATGCGGGATGGAGGATTAACAGCTCACCTGGTAGAGCATGGCGTAGTTCAAGCTGGCGCTTCCTCATCGCTATTTCTAGGACAGCAATGGTAGAACCCCCTTCCCTGGTGTAATTACGATGCTCTGGCTGTAGGTCGGGGGGATCAGCGAGATTAGCCAGATCAACATCAAGCTGCAGGGCAATTGCAAGGAAATCTGATGGTGTRTACAACGGCCGATTGAGAACGCGAAGGCAGCTATTAGTTGCAGTCAGACCACAGAGATTGGCGGGGATCTCAGGCTGATTTTGTTGGTCAGTCATTTGTAGATCACCCGTGGGGTCTGCGCAGGGTGGTGCACAAGTATGCGGTTCATCCATATGATCCTGGTCAGCCATTTGCAAATCCCTCGTGGGGTCTACGCCATGCGGGATTAAATGCAGTCCAAGCAGATCATGTTCCTGTCCCTCAGCGTTCGGGGCCACACAGGGTGGGGCACAAGTACGCGGTTCATCCATATGATCCTGGTCAGCCATTTGCAAATCTCCCGTGTGGTCTATGCCTTGCGGGGTTAAAATATATATCGTCATATATATCGTCAAATAGAACTGCCCGGTAAACCGTAGGCAGAGAGGGAGAAGAGGACAACAAACGAGGGGCTGTGACAATATTATATATTATCGTCAATGATTCGTCATGTCAAGGCCTACTTCCAAGTGACTGAATTGTTGGCCATTGCAACTTACTCCAAATTGCCTGCAAATCCTCATCGTGCCCATTCTGATAACAACACACCGTTAATGTGTAGGCCATTCTTGGCACTATTAGGTGAATTGCGGTCCTTTCAGATAGGCGCCGACAATAGAATTGGTCGATGTTCCTACTGCACAGTGATCTACGCACAAGAGCAGGCAGCTATGAAAAAGGCAAAACGAGCATCACAAACGGGCAATGCATCATACACACAAGCACACACCGTCAAAGAAAGACTACATCTGAACCTGGGAATTCAGCAGCTCTGCTACATCAACTGCTGTGGCTACAGGGATGAGGAATGGATATATACATATACTGTGATATACATACACAGCTGTGGCAACAACGGGGGATAAACATTAGCAAAAGCCAACACCAATCAGTGACAAACATTAAGGCAGGAGAGTGGAGAGTTTAAGGTGCCAATACGGAGTGCACATTAACAACTTGCGTCCCTCCGTCCTCAGCTAGCTTCACCACCCTGTGCAGGCTACACCAAATTTGCTCCACGCCACTGCCTGCGTTGCAATGGATCACTGAATGGCACCTGCACATCGCTGCCATCAACTCACTTCCTGTGGTGCTGCTCATTCATTTCATTGATACAACACACCCGATCCGATCCCCATTCACTGCACTGTTGCCTTGCTTCTTTCCAGCTTACCTCGAGGTGGTTAGGCGAATTTTGCTTGATAAATGTGGGCTAATGAAATTTTACATCCTTCTACCTGACGTCTCCTGCACGTTATCTTGTCACATTTGTGACCAATCGAACTGCAGAGTACTTCCTTCTGAGCTCTTTCATAGCCGTCTCCTCAATCTGTATGTTCCGTATGCTCGAAACTGGCCTCTCCTCCTCCGGTCGATACCATCTGTTCGCTGGCGGTGGATCTGCCTGCAAACCTCCGGGCGACGGTCCACCATACAAATCTGCGGGGCTTAGCAAAGTTGCATCCCATCCTGATTGTTGCTGTGACGACCTCTCCTACAAGCCACAAAAAAAAGAGTGCCAAATGAGTTAACACAACTCGTGATTTATTTACCATACAGCGAACATCTTTGCCAAAACTGTGGCAATCTGTGCGTCGCTGTGCCGTAAAGAGAATGGTCCAGAACAACTACTGACCACTACCGTCTACCATAGTTTTCATTTGCCGATTGGGAAAGAGGTCGTTCTTAACGGTTTTCTTTTTTTGGACCTCACACAGACTCGCACAAGTTCGTCTTCACCTGTGAGGCAGATCTTAATTTCACAGGTGATGAGAGACGCCAGCATTCATCAGCCTCGGGGCAGATAACCTCGTACGAATCCCTCAGCAACCCTTCTGCCACGGGCTACAAGAGCGAGTGAGACACAATGTCAGCATTGTTTTGGATTTCAGACACTGGAATTTGGGCTTTGGCTGGAAAAGACGTACCAGATCGAGTACCAACAGTACGCAGATTGCTGAGGTTCTTCTTCCCCATTTTTGTCATCTCACCCAAGGTTATGCACGTTGGGAGAGAATACAACTACATTTTTATTTCCTCTCCCCAGTGGCTGTTTGGCCATTGTGTAATGAACCCTGTCTCGTTGAGAAGCCTGTCGGCAACGCACTAGGAGTCTGAACCCAGCGAACCTCCTGAAGTCTCCAAAATCAATGGCTGGAAAAAATATACCAGATTGAGTACCAACAGGGGCCAATGGGATTCATGCATTGAGAAATTGAGGAAGTGCGCAGATTGCTGAGGTTTGAAACAGTATTCACCAGTTAGCAGTAGCTGCTGCAGATCCCAGGGTTCGATCCCTAGACCCCCAACCTTACCTGTGTACAGTACCTGTGTCGACCCGTAGAATTTAACCCGCGACCTGTGTATTTGTAATAGCTGATAGGTTGTCGTAGGGTCCATAGGTAGCATGGGTTCGATCTGTAGACCTGTCGGATAGGAGTCATAGTCAGGTCTAGACATCGTAGCTGTAGTTTTCTTGAAAGGTCAAGGTCGTAGCTGCCACAGTCCAGAAGGGTCAGAATCGTAGCTGCTACAGTCACGAAAGGCCAAGTCTACGGCCTTCCGGAAGGTCCCAGTAGTGGTCTTTCGAAGTTGCCCACGTTTAAGCAGAGGCAAGTGGTCAAGTGGTGAGGCAAGTGGTCAAGTGGTGAGGCAAGTGGGCAAGTGGTAGAAGTCTACCCTGCTGAGTCAACAGTCCCAGTTCCCAGTTAGTCCAGCAAGTACCGCACGGGATTGTGTGGACTTTGGGCAAGGGAAATGGGCCAGACCAACGACCTGCAGAAGTATAAATCAAGAGGCAGCCCCCAGCCTTTCATTCATTCCTGCGTGAGCCATGCGGAAGCGCTGCCACAGCGACTTGTGCAAGGAGGTCTGCAGTGAGCCCGGAGGACGCAGTGGGCGAGAGAGGAGGAGTTAGCATAGCGATAGGTTAGAGGCAGCCATAGCTGCCATAGCTGTAGTTAGTGGGGAGAGTTGTGTGCATGTGTGGGTGTTCAGAGTGACGTGTGTGGGATATCCAGGGTGATCCAGTGGGTGAACAGTGAGTTGTTGGGCGCTAAGTCGCCATAG